TATTATTTATTTATATTATTTATTATATATTATATTATTTATTTATTTATTTTATTATTTATTTATTAATTATCATGGATATCTCTCGAATATTGTACAAGAAAATGCAATTGTTGCCAAATCTTTATTTAAATATTATATTATTACAGTGTATATTATTATATTCTCGCAATTTATATGTACGAAAGAATTGTGAGATATTTCGTACACTAAAATATTATGCGAGAGAGATTACATACATATACAATATTATGCAATATAATAAAACATATGTGTGCTACATTATAATAAGATGTTACAAAAAAGGCGAATAGATGAAATAGGTCATTGCGCGGTTATATATCGACGATTCTCATTATTTATTCAAACCTGAACTGCTATGACACACTGATTTTTCGAGCGATGAAATCGACCGCAATATATGCTGAGGATTAATGTGGAAAGCGATGGCGGTTCGACAATAAGTATACGTATTATCAAAACGTAAGATGTAGCATCGCTGAAATTACAATTCTTAAATTATTTTATGGACTTTAATACACTTTACGTCATTTTATTTGGTATTCACATTCTTAAAGTATTTACTTCGTACTTGCGGAAATTATGAAAATCAATTATGCATATGGTATTTGAATCGAATGTATTTCCAACTAGGCAACTCCATTTTTTTCGATGCCGTCGCTCTTCTCGCACCATTACGTTAATCCTAAAATGCATCCTTGTGTATATATGTGTGTATATGTTTTTTTCTATTACACATAATTGTCTCTATCGCTGCATGGAACTTCCTCTCGCTTACGTAGATTATAGTTAATGTTTATATAGTTCAAGTAGCAATAAATGTTGCTTGCATCTTTACGAATGATGGAAATCTTCCTTCCATTTGTTTTCCCCTGCACTTCGACCTATCGGCGCTACTGTATGCATTATTTGTAAGTATTTTTCTCTTGTTGCATTAACGATTGATTGTATCTCGATTCATTATGTAAACATCGCGATCGATAAGAGGGCAGCGTATGTGTACGATTTTTCCTTCTCTTACTGCCTCTGCTTAGAACTTGGATGTTCTGATATGCGCCCTGTGTGTCGGCCAGTTGTTGAAAAGGAGCGCTTATTTGAATGTTCGTTAATTCACAGAATTCTCTATAATTGATTTCTCTGTAATTGTCGATATTGCTACGTTTTACAAAGGAAACTCTTGAGAACATGAAGTCGTATCGAAACATGCGAGGGACTGTAATACGGCAGCCTTTCACATCATTGTTTTAACAGTCGATTATTGTAGTAATTTATAATGATAAAAAAGGCATCTATATTCCATTTTAGTCTTCTTAATTCGATTTGATCTTAATTTTAAGAATTCACTGTCGTTTAATTAATTGAATAGTTTTAAAATATTATGAATATTCAAACAAAATTGCAGATGATGACAAATTAAATATTTTTATGGCATTTTAGGAATAACAGATAATTAAGTATTTATGGATAAATTGAAACTCAGTCATAATTCGCAATCTTATAAAAAACAACTTTTACTGCTTCTGATCGCTAATTTTAATTCTTTTATTCGATTCCATTGATTAAATGTGTTACTTGGAGTATACTAGTGAAAAATCATATTTCATTTACAGCATCTATAATTGTGAGTAATGGTGATAAATTTTCTATATTATATTGAAAATAAAATTTATAGACGATCAATTCTTTTCGAGATATCCAATAAAATTAAATAACAAGTCCTGCGTTATTTAAAATAACAATATCGTTTAAAAATTGTCTCACGAAAAGTCGTGCTCTACATGCTGTTCGGATTTCATGAATTTTCAGGTTTTCTTTCCTGCGTGGCCCACAAAATACCGATATTATCTGCAAAGAACATTGCTATCTTCGTCTTTGAAAAAAAAATCACGTTATTATATAAAGTTAATCGAAAAATAATCTGCGCGCGACATTTTCGGAAATTAGCGCATAAATATTTCATAAATATTCGCATTACGTGACTTTGCTAACGTCTCGTTCGGCTTGTTGAATGTAATTTACATGTAGTACGTAGTAGCACCTTTTCATAAGTGCTTTATATTATTACCCCAGTGTTGGTAAAAATATATGATCTCATAACAGCAAATGTTATTTTTCGAATAAAATATCTATCGGAATAATATCTGTTCACACGTGATACTTTATTGCTTATAATCGGAACTATTTACCAGTAGTAACACTTTCATGTATAATATCGTTATATAATTTTAATAATCGTGTACAAAACAATTTTTCATCAATTTTAAGCATTATAATATTAAGGGCAACCAACTTTTATTTAAAATGATTGATCTTTATATTTAAAACGAACGTATGAGTATAATGAATTTCCATGAGACTTTAAACTCTTGAGAAATACATCGGACTAACTTTGCATTTAGATAGATAATATAGTTACCAGGAAATGTATGCGATATCGCGATATGAGACATACATATTTAACAACACTGGCCGCGACGCGAAACGAGCTAAGGACGAACAAGGAAAAATTAAGAATTTAGCAGAGATGATTAAAGTAATATTTAATGCGATGAAAAGGTCATTCGTAAATTACGGGCATAGCATGTATAAACGACACGAGGAAGGCATTCAATTTTTGATAATTAGTCAATTATATGTACAAGTCATTTACTTTTTGATCGATATTTAAAATCGACCTATATTTGATATTGTTTTGTTTTTAGATGAATGAAATGTATTTCTTCTCGATAATGCTTTCAGATAAGCGCAACTTATCACAAGATGTTTTTCTCTGCACATATATATAATATTTCTTTCTTATAATTCGGCTGATTATTTTGACACGGATATTTAAAAAAATTGTCGCGATGCTTATGGAATGATTTAATTCTTGTTGAAGATGAAACACAAAGAGATTCATGGTGGAAGAAACCATGGTGAAAGAACCACCATGGAAGAAACTTCTTCCACCATGAGGAGATCTCTGTCAGGAATTAACCATGGAATTATAAACGGCTCTGTTCAGGAAATAAACACGATTGAATGAGTTTCCATGGTGAAAAATATCAAAGTATCGCGGGGAGCAATATCGGTACAATAGCTCGGACGTTCCCTTGACGCGTTCGTTTCACGTTTCGAAATGTCAAATCGCGGGGAGGGTTCAGAGAGACAGAGAGAGAAAAGAGAAAGAGAGATCTGTCACATCCGTTCAGGATCCTCTCCAACCAGGTAACATTTAAATACCCTCGCCAGGTTCTTCTCGGTGCACATCGATCGGTTCAACCAGTGATCTTGTGAGAGAGGCGAGAAGACCAGCCGGCTTGGCTGCGCCCAACGTCACGCGCGCACACCGAGAAGCAACCTCCTCGTGTCAAGCGTAAGGACGACGAAGACGAATACGAGGACGAAGACAAGGACGAGGACGAAGACGACAACGACGGCAACGGTAACGGTGAGAAGGAGGAGAAGGAGAAAGAGAAGGGGAAAGGGAACACCGACGATCGAAAGAGCAAGTGATAAAAAGGACAGGGTGAAGACAAAGAGAGAGAAAGAGAGAGACATAGGAAGACATAGACGAGCGAAAGAAAAAGACAGATAGAGAATGAATGGCCCCGGGAGTCATCAGCACCGTGGCTTGGGTATGCAGGGACGTTACAGAGCTGTGGTGGCCAATGGCGCCCCGTCAGGACCGCACGTGCGCACCCCTACATCGTCTCATCCCCGAAACGGTGGATGGCATCCTCATAATCTGCATCAGCAGCATCAACCTCAACAGCAGCAACAGCAGCAGCAGCAGCAGCAGCAGCAGCAATTCGCCGCCGGCAGCAAGGAATACCCGTACCGGCAGTGCCCGCCACGATATCACAATGGGTATATTAACGAACCCGTGCAATTGCGGCCGCAGCGTTGTCGTGAATATACGCGAATTTTTGCAATGTGTACATTCCAAGTACATGATTCGAGAAGACAGGGACTCGGGCAACAGTACTATATATGACAAGAATGTTTCTGTAGAGTTGTCGTAAATCTAATTTTTTTTCTCGCGGAAATGCTTTTATTGTGATAAAACGCTTTATAATGATGGAAGTAATATTTTTTTTGATATGTCTTTTTTATATCTTACGTATGTGTCCAATAGGTTTTTTATTTTTATAAGATTCATTATTCTCTCTAAAAAAGGAATGATACACATTTATTACTAAAAGACAAAAAATTTTATTTCTCTATATTAATATCATTAAATATTTTACAAGAGTTGTGCTTTGGAGTTATTAACAACTTAAGATTAATCCTTAAATATCTATGTATTATATAATGTTGCTCTTATTCAAGCGCATTTTAAATTCCAAAAAATTGTAAAAAAATTTAATGATAAAAACTGTGTCAAGTTCCTCTTACTTTCTTTCATAATTACTATTTTTTTCATAAAGTTAAAATCGATGAATGAAAAATCGTTAAAATCAAATTAACTCGAAATCTGACAAGTATTTAATTTCAATGTGCGAAGAAAAAAAAACGTTTGAATATATAATGTAGAGAAATAGAGGAAAATTAAGAAAGTTGTAATAATTTTTTTGCTCTTTTTTTATAAATATGTATTATTTTTATAAATGTGTGTTATTATTTTTTAAATATGGATTTACGATCATCGTCAGAAATATCCATATTCGCTCGACAAAGTGCCTTCCACGTGATTTAGGATGAACATATGCGTGTGTTCCATGATAAAATCGTTTCGCGATGACGGAGAATTTTTATGCACGGCAACCCTCATTAGAAAATTGTGTATGAGGTACTCGAAGCTTGAATTTGATTATTATATATTGATTCTTAAACATTTCAAATGAAAAACTTAACAGAAGTAGTGGATGGACTTTCATTTTAATGGAAATTTATTTTGTTCTGCAAAAATTTACTTTTGAAAATATAATTAATTTATCACGAAAACATTTGTAAATTTATCAATATATTGACATGTACTTTATGTATACTTTTGTTCATTTAAACAGCATAGCGTCAGATAATTATTTTTTTATTACACTTATTAATAATGTCGGTATTAATAATTTTTAAAAATTTATTTAACACAGATTTTTGCAAAACTTCTTTAGAAAATTTCATCTCTAGAAGTTGAATAAAAGTTTCGTTAGCTTGACATTAAATGATAAAAGAGGACTTTTTAATTTTATAATTTATATATACTTTTTTTAAGTTTATTTCATAAAGGTAAATTACGAATCGCTTGTAACAAAAAGCCTCTTTTGTATACTCTTTAATATCTTTAATAGGAAAGTTATTACGTTACATAAACGGAAGAATTCTGTGGCGATGAAGAATACAATGAATTTGGGACGCCCTGTACAATTTTCACGAACTTTCTACCAGTTGTAGAAAGTCCGGAGTAAATAGAATTCCGTTTGTTCAATGCGCCTGGAAAATGCTCTCGATCTCTATCAGATCGCTCAAAAGCCGACACGCGTTTCATTATGGGATGGATTGAGCTTTTTTCTTCCTTTTTTCACGCGGCAAAAATTTTCGTGCCATGTTTTCATTATTCATCGTGCATTTGTACATTTGTGTATTAAACGTCACGAACTTAGTACATGGCTTAGCAAAAGTGTCGTACGAAGTATATGTATATATATATATATATAT